CGAAATTTTTCTCGGATTTTTAAAATAGGCTTTAAATCATATATCATACATCATTCATATGTTTAGCAAAGTCATCATTTTAAAGATATATTATATCCGACAAAATAACATATTTTTTAATTTTATTCAAAATATAAGACTATTATAATTTTTGAAAAGATTTTTCAAGAGATATGATAAAAATTCAAATAATAATCCTATAATCCTTACCTGAAGTTACATATATAGTATATAGTTTTTAAATTTAATTAATTTCTTTAATAATTAAAACGATAATTATTGCAATATATTAATTTAATATTTCATAAATATAATACTCTTATTATTTTCTCAGCTGATAGAATCGAATAAAAATGATCCATATGCTTGGACGTTATATGCAATTTTTCTTAAGAAAATAGGTGATATAGAAAGTGCAAAGCAATGTTGTTTAGAAGCAATTATGTTAAATCGACAACACCCAATTGCGTATGTAAAGTAACATTACCTAATATCATTCATTATAACTTTTACAATTTTTCTATAATATTTCTGATAGAATTTATAAAAATAAATTAAAATAATATATAATATAATTTTTATTAGAATAATTATACAATATATATTATATTATATAAACTATTATGATTTTAGATTGTTAATATACGCAATGATCTTTTTTGAGAATAAAGAATACAAAAAGGCTGAGATTTTTTTTAGAGCTATTGTCTATTTACATCCACGCTTTTTTGAAGGCTGGGCAATTTTACATCTTTTTTTTATACGAACCGAATACTATCCAGGTATTTATATATATAAAGAAAATTAACGATAGAAATTTTGACAAAATATATATATAATAAATTAAAATATAGAAAAAATAATATATAAAATAATATATAATACATAAGAAAAATATTATAAGAAAAAATATAAATAAATGAATCAAAAAATACAAATAAATGAAAATAATGCAAATTATATTTCATATTTTAGGAATAGATCTCACGCTTCGTATAGCAGAGAAATGTATGCAAGATAAAACTCGCATTACAACGCTTGATCAAAAGCCGCTTTTATGGTCCACGGATTATTGTCCAAAGAATAATTTGTATATAAATGTTGTAATATTTTTATTGAAATTGAACTTTTGTGAGGTAAAATATCTTTATTTTGTTTTTAAAAATAAAGAAAAAATTATAATAAAAAATAAATATATTTTCAAAAATATTACAATAATATTCAGTTTGCAGAAATAGCATTAGCAGAGGAAATGTCAATTTCCAATCGATCAATTCATGTCTTGTACTATATGGCAGTGGAACATTATTTATCTAACAGATATGAAGATGCATTATCTCATTTAAAGGAAATTCGATGCAATTATGGAATGGTTTATAATTTAAATTTTACTAATAATTTATTAAATATAAAAATCAAAAATACAATGAGTAGACACAGGATATCTTATAACTAGCAATAGAATTATAAACAAAATAATTTTCAAGGAAAAAATAATCAAAAAATTAATAGAAGAAATAATTATTTTAAATAATTTAAAATATTAAGTTTAAATAATTATAAATTGTTAAGAAATTTTTTAACATCTTTTAATTAATTTATTCAGGATTATTCGGTTAGTAGTCTAATGGGCCACTGTTACTTCAAAATAGGAAATATCGAAAAAGCAATAGAATTCTATCAACATGCGCATATGCTTTTCGATAGGCCTAAAGATTTGCATTTAGTAGAAATTAGGTAATTAATAATTGTATAAAAAATATCAAACAATAGTTTTTAATTAATTTGTTCAAAATCTTTATAGAATATAATGTGAGTATATGTGTGAAATATATGAATACATAACATTCTATTTTCTATATTATGAATAAATAATTTGATATTTTAAATAAATATCAAAATTATAAAATAAAATGAAATAATAAAATTGATGTATTTTCATTCATTAATTATAGATTGGGATATCATTATCACAATCACGGTGACTTTGACCGAGCAAAAAAAATTTTTTTGAGTGTATGCAAATCCTCACCCTCTTGTATAACCTGGCTAGGGGTTGGTAAAAGTTGTTATGAGGTATTTATAATTTTTAATATATAATTCATAATATATAATATTATATATTATATATA